CTCCCGGGGGGGGCACAGAGACCCCCAACCCCCCCAAATCAGCTCCCGGGGGGGGGACAGGCACCCCCAATCCCCAGATCAGCACAGGGGGCACAGGGACCCCCATCATCCCCCAAATCAGCTCCTGGGGGGGCACAGGCACCCCCATCATCCCCGAAATCAAGATTCTCAATCCCCCCCCAAATCAGCAGGGGGGGAACAGGGGGGCACAGAGACCCCCAAATCAACACCCAGGGGGCCACAGAGACCCCCAAATCAACACCCAGGGGAGCACAGAGACCCCCAACCCCCAAATCAGCTCGGGGGGAACAGGGACCCCCATCATCCCCCAGATCAGCACCCAGGGTGAGCACAGGGACCCCCAACCCCCAAATCGAGACCCCCATCAGCACCTGCTGGGGGGTGGGGCAGGGGGTGGGTGTGGCAGTGAGTGGGTGTGGCCGTGGGCGTGGTCACTCACCTGACGAACAGCACCTGCTGGGGGGGCCGGGGCGTGTCCCGCTGCGCCTCGGCCGCCAGAGCCTCCGCCCGCTGCTCCAGCAGCTTCATGTCATCCAACCCGCTCTGCCCCGGGGCCAGGTCTGACACTGCACCCCAAAAACACGGGGGGGGGGGCAGGGGGGATGTGGGAACCCCCCAGAAACAGGGACGGGCCAGGGGGGCCATGGGAACCCCCAAAAAAACCATGAGGGGGCATCAGGGGGGTTGTGGGAACCCCCCAAAAACAGGAGTGGGGTTGGAGGGGCCATGGGACCCCCTAGAGACCGAGATGGGAGTCAGGAGGGCTGTGGGAATCCCCCCAAAATAGGGGGGGAGTCAGGGGGGATATGGGAACCCCCCAGAAACAGGGACAGGGTCGGGGGGATTGTGGGAACCCAAAAAAACATGGGGGGGGGGCAGGGGGGGATGTGGGAGCCCCCCAGAAACAGAGATGGGGTCAGGGGGGCCATGGGAACCCCTCAAAATCAGGGACGGGGGCAGGGGGTCCATGGGACACCCCAGGCCCAAGGGACACCCTTGGGGACACCCCTGGGGACAGCCCTGGGGACACCCCAGGCCCAAGGGACACCCTTGGGGACACCCCATGCTCTGGGGACAGCCCTGGGGACAGCCCAGGCCCAAGGGACACCCAAGGGGACACCCCATGCTCTGGGGACAGCCCTGGGGACAGCCCAGGCCCAAGGGACACCCAAGGGGACAGTCCTGGGGACAGTCCTGGGTACACTCCAAGCCCTGGGGACACCCCAGACCCAAAGGGACACCCCTGGGGACAGCCCTGGGGACACCCCAGACCCAAGGGACACCCTTGGGGACACCTCTGGGGACACCCCAAACCCAAAGGGACAGCCCAGACCCAATGGACAGCCCTGGGGACACCTCTGGGGACACCCCAAGCCCTGGGGACACCCCAGACCCAAAGGGACAGCCCTGGGGACACCTCTGGGGACATCCCAGGCCCAAGGGGACTCCCAAGGGACATCCCTGGGGACACCCCAGGCCCAAAGGGTCACCCCAGACCCAAGGGACACCCCTGGGGACACCCCAAGCCCTGGGGACACCCCAGACCCAAAGGGACAGCCCTGGGGACACCTCTGGGGACACCCCAGACCCAAAGGGACACCCCAGACCCAAGGGACACCCCTGGGGACACCTCTGGGGACACCCCAGACCCAAAGGGACACTCCAGGCCCAAAGGGACACCCCAGACCCAAGGGACAGCCCTAGGGACACCCCAGACCCAAAGGGACACCCCTGGGGCCAGCCCTGGGGACAGCCCTGGGGACAGCCCTGGGGACACCTCTGGGAACACCCCAGACCCCAAGGGACACCCCAGACCCCAAGGGACACCCCCCTGGGGACACCCCCTGCCCCCCCCCGTCTCACCGGTGCCGGTGGCGCTGCCGGACGCCTTGAGCATCTGCGAGGCCATGAAGTTGACCTGCGTGTTGTAGGTGGCCTGGACGCTGCGCTTGATCCGCAGCATCTCCCGGATCGTGTCCTCGTTGCCGTGCCGGATCTCAAACTCCTTCCACGTCTGCCAGAAACTGCCCGTGATCTGCGGGGACAGCCCTGTCACACCCTGGGGACACCTGGGGACACCTTGGGGACATCCTGGGGACACACTGGGACATCCTGGGGACACCTGGGGACACCCCTGTCACACCCTGGGGACACCTGGGGACACCTTAGGGACACCTGGGGACACACTGGGACATCCTGGGGACACCTCTGTGACACCCTGGGGACACCTGGGGACACCCTGGGGACACCTGGGGACACCCCTGTCACACCCTGGGGACACCTGGGGACACCTTGGGGACACCTGGGGACACCTGGGGACACCCTGGGGACATCCTGGGGACACCTCTGTCACACCCTGGGGACACCTGGGGACACCCTGGGGACACCCTGGGGACACCTCTGTGACACCCTGGGGACACCCCTGTGACACTGGGGACACCCTGGGGACACCTTGGGGACATCTGGGGACATCCCTGTGACACCCTGGGGACACCTGGGGACACCCTGGGACACCTCTGTGACACTAGGGACATCCTGGGGACATCCTGGGGACAACCCCCTGACACTGGGGACACCCTGGGGACACCTCTGTGACACCCCTGTGACACCCTGGGGACACCTCCGTGACACTGGGGACACCCTGGGGACATCCCCCTGGCACCGGGGACACCCTGGGGACACCTCTGTGACACTGGGGACACCCCCTGACACTGAGGACATCCTGTCACCCTGGAGACACCCTGTCACCCTGGGGACACAGATCTGGGAGCAGTAGGTGTAGATGGCCCTGTGTGACCCCTGTGTGACCCCTGTGTGACCCCCCCATGTCCCCCATGTCCCCCCTCACCCGGGGGTCGCAGATCTGGGAGCAGTAGGTGTAGATGGCCCTGTGTGACCCCCCCATGTCCCCAGTGTCCCCCCTCACCCTGGTGACACAGATCTGGGAGCAGTAGGTGTAGATGGCTCTGTGTGACCCCTGTGTGACCCCCCCATG